CCGTCAAAGGAAGTCGCTCATGCACGTCTGCTTGGTTTCCCTCGAACCGTAGGCACTCATCCACGCTAGCTTAGCCTTGCGGAGGTGAAAAGACACTTCGGACATACATGCGGCACTTCTCGGCAGTATCCTCAAGTTCACCAAAATGATTTGCTACATTCGCGTACGGCGGCGGAGCCGGGGCCGCTGCCGCCGCCGACTGTCCCGATTGGCGTAGCTCAACCAGGTCGTCGTCCTCGTCGTCAGAGGAAAGATCCATGCCCACCAAATTCTCATCACAGAGGTCCTCTACCATCTCTGTAACGATCGCTTCGGCTACCTCCACGTTGTCCTCTACAGCCTGAAGTCATGCGCTCACGGGAGGAAAGGCAGTTGTGGCAGATGCGATGCATCTCGGAGGTGCCCTGAGGGTCCACCACACCACAGGTGCCATGGAGGTACTGCCTGCAGACTCCTCTACATTGGTGGTTTGTGAACGCCGGCGGGCCTGGCGTGTGATCGGGGACAGCCGTGCAGCGACTGCCCGCCACGCAGGGCATGGTGTCTGCAGCTGTGTGGGTGTGTGTGTCCACGTGGTTTCCACATTGTTCGATTTAAGAGAAAAATCCCAGCTGCAAAAGGAAATTTCTCTTAAATCGATTGTTATTGGTACACGCCAATTCCTCTCTCTTAAATCCGTACTTTCTCTTAAATAAGTTCTCTTAAACCGTAGCCGCTACTGTACAGCAACACAGTACTACTTGAGTGTGCTCGATATCATGTTTGTCTCGCCATCCTCTGAATCGCTCGTGGTACCTTTCATACGGAGTTGCCTCATGAAATGTTGACGTACTCGAGCGAACACGGACGGACGAGCTGGACGCGTGTGTGTGGGGTTACACGCAAGTTGAGAACTCATCCAGGTGCTTTGTACCATTCATTGCATGCATACAACGATGCTTATCTTCCAACACAGCAGTTAACCTATAATACGTATCCTCATGTATGTATGTAGTATTTGTTTCACTATTTAGCTACTGTATTGTGTTATTGTTTGTTGGATTGTCCAATTTTTTTGTGGGTGTCGTTGTGTCGTTGTCCCATCTACAGTACGCGAAGCGTCAGTCTACGTCAGTCTGTATGCACCAGTACATGCATACATGAAATTTAAGTTTTGAAAGGGAGTCCAAAAAAAGCGGATTGGTTTTGAATCTGAAACTGAGGCCGCCTAGTATACGCATACTTGTAGCATTTTGTATGAAATCGTGGAAAAACTGAACAAACTTTCGCTGACGCTACGGACTCATTGCTACAAAAATCCAAAAATCAATAATCTAAATAAGACGGATTCGTTGGGTCATACTGACAAAAAAAACAATTACTGGAAAATCACGGTCTCAAGACTACAGGAACATGTGCATATTCACAGCTTCTCTGCTGCATCCCAATCCAGTTGCACATGACGCGTCTCTCTTATCCCTGCCGACTCACATCACGAGCTTGTACAGCCTGGCCTCCACGCCCAAGGCCTTGGTCCTGAGCCCCAGCTCTTCCGCGGCGTGCAAGGCGTACTTCTTCCCCACGGCTTGAGCAACCTCGTTCGAGAGCCCGAGGAGGGAGCCGTCGATCTGCCACGCCCGACGCAGGCTCTCGTCCACCTTCGTGGTAGACTGCATGTGGTTGGCCAAGGCCTCTTTTGGTGACCATTGTCGGTGAACGCGGTGCAACCCTGTACATGGCAAAAACGTTCCGAATTTAGAACCAAGAGAAAGTTGTCGTAGTCTGTGGTTCTTGCCTTCTTACTCCGTTACTCCGGTCTGGCTTCGGTGTCCACAGTTTGCAACACAACCAGCTGGTCGGGCTAGGTTACGCGCGGCTACCCACTACCCAAGAGCACTTTCGCTTCGCAGCTGAACATCCCTCCTCTCGCGAGGCAGACTTTGCCAGTGTGCTCTCACGCCTTCAAATGGCCGGCGGCGGACAGAATCTTCGTACCATCCTGAGTGGGTCAGAGGCTGCCGTCTTCGACCTCATCTTCGGCACTACTTCGATACAGCAGTGGGCAGAATGGCTTCGGACTCCGTTGGAGCATGCTGTGGCTGAGGGCGACATGGATCTCGTTGTGAAGCTCGCTCAAGCTGGGGCAAGAGGAAGTGCTGTGCATTTGGCTGTGAGGCAAGGCCACGAAGCGGTTGTCGCGGAGCTGCTGAGGCTGGGAGCATCGCCAAGCGATCCGGACGAGAGTGGCGATACTCCTCTCCATATCGCTGCCAGCCAAGGCCATGACAGCATTCTTGCGCTACTTCTATTCCAGAAGGCTGGCGTTGATGTGCTTGATGGCAAAAGTCGTACGCCTCTCCATCTAGCAGCTGAATGCGGCTCTCTTGCTGCTGTCGAAGCTCTCGTTTCTGCCAACGCGGATCTTACCGTCCGCTTCGGCGATGAAGAGAAATCAGCAATGGATTGTGCAGTATGCTTCGGGCATGTGCACATCATGCGCGCGCTGATACAACACGGAGTTGGCGTGAATGATGCTGACGCTACCGGCATGACTCCCTTACACATTGCTGCCGATCGAGCGCTCCTTCCCGCGATCCAGGTGCTTGTGGAGGCAGGGGCCAACGTCGGGGCCGAGGAACAGGGAAAGTGCACGCCCTTACATTTGGCGGCTAGGTCTGCCTCAGCCGATGCTGTGGTTGCCCTGTTGAGGCAAGGGGCGGACGCAAACAAGCTGAACGGTGATGGACTCTCCTCTCTCCACATGGCTGCCAAGGATAACGTCGCTGCCACGGTACACGCACTCCTAGCCGGCGGTACCCAGCCAAACCTTCGCGCAGGCACGGGTGACAACACGGGTCTCACCGCTCTGCATATGGCCGTCTCCAACGAGCACGCCGGTGTGATCGACGCGCTCGTAGAGGCTGGTGCTGACGTTGACGCCCAAGGAGGTGAAACGTGTGAGACGCCGTTGCATTTGGCGACCAAGCTGGGGTCATCCGAAGCAGTGACCTCTCTCTTGAAGCACGAAGCTGACGCGAACAAGCTGAATGGCGATCAGTACTCTGCTCTTCACCTGGCTGCCGAGAGCGGTAGCGCTGCCATCGTTCATGTACTCCTGGCCGCAGGTGCTCAGCTAAACCTTCGTGGAGGCGAAGATGGGAAGACCGCGTTGGACCTGGCCGCTGTGGGTGGGCATGCTGAGACCGCGACAGCTTTAGTCCAGCATCGACCGAGCCTAAATGCGACGGACAAGCTTGGCCGTGCCGCCCTGCACTCTGCTGCCTCCAACAACCACGTGGCGGTCATCGATGTGCTTGCCGCCGCCGGGGCTCGAATCGATGCGAGGGACCAGCAGGGTTTGACGCCCCTGCATTCCGCATCGCAGGAAGGGTGCGCTGAGGCTATCGCAACGCTCATGAAGCACGGGGCCGGCGGCAACCATGTCAACGCCGACGGCGAATCTCCTCTCCACGTTGCATTACGAAAAGGCGATGTCGCTGTTGCAACCGCCCTCTTGGTCGGGGGCGCGAATCCCAACCTTGATAGCGAGGATGGTGTTTTTCATCCATTGTACCTGGCTACTGTCATGGGACATCTAGATGTGTTGCAGGTGTTACTTCAGCACGGAGCGGACGTGAACCGATCCCGCACAGCTGGTGCTACCTTGTTGCACACAGCTGCCAACAAGAAAAATGTCGGCGTAGTTGAAGCACTCATCGCCGCCGGGGCCGACCTGGAGGCGGAGGATACAGACGGCGGTACACCTCTTCATCAAGCTCTCCGCTCGGGGTCCTTCGAAGTCGTCCAAGCCCTGTTGAAACACGGCGCCGATCAAACCAAGCGGACGTCGAGCAACCGAGGGCTCCTTCACGAGGCCGCCGAAGGAGGCAGCGTTTCCTGCGTGGAAGCACTTCTCGCCGATGGTGCCGACATCGCTCTTCGTGACGACGTGGGGCGTACGGCGCTGCACGTGGCTGCGTCTCGTTCCGGCCGGGTCGTGGAAAAGCTGCTCCATCACGGCGCGGACACAGAGTCTCGAGATTTAGGGAATCGCACCGCGCTACACAAGGCCGCCATGGCTAATGACGGATACCTCTCGATCAACGCCCTTGTTGACGGGGGTGCTGCCATCGAGGCCCGGGATAACAAAGGTAGAACCCCCCTTCATCTCGCTTCTTCGTCGCACAGATGCGCAGAAATGAAGGCCCTTCTTCGGAGCGGTGCTGACATCCGTGCGAGAGACAAGGATGGACGCTCACCGCTACACCTTGTAGTGGATGAAGGGTACGACGTCGCCGATGCTCGCTCGCCTGTGGACCTACTACTGAGATGGGGGGCAGATGAAACCGCCAAAGATGACGGCGACCAAGACGATGACGACGACGACGACGACGATGGGCCAAACGTCGGCAACAGCCCGGCAGAGCTTTGGGAATATCGCGTTGAGGTCACGGACACCACATACGCCGACGCGGCTCCCGTTCAAAAGCTTTTGGATGACGCCCAGAAAGACAGGACGTGGCGGCGACGTGGCTGGCTTGTCATGTGCCGTGCTTTCCCGGACAGGGTGCGGCTGAGAGCCGATAGCAAACGATCGAACGCTACAACGGGAAGAGATGTTCGGGTGCGAGGCGATGCAGCGGCAGGATCGGATGGTGTACTTGCCGTTACGAAGCACGGGCGGGCCGCTGGAGGCTTCAACGATGTGGTGGCGAGGTCGCTGGGCTTCGAAGGAGGTGTTTTCCGGAACATCGTTACGTTCCTTTGAGCCACGTGGGTGAGTCACAAATGTGTACGGGCCGTCTTGGAGAACGTTTGTACGTAGAGTAGGTGACGCTTAGTGTGAGTCTTTCGTGTACGTCCAAAGGGTGACGTTCCTAACGCCCACCAGAACGTATACTCTCTTTTGTACGCGTGTTCTCCGCTGCATGCAGAGTAGACTTGTGGTCCGAATCTCACTTCGTTGTGTGCGCGTCAAGAGTTTATCGTGTTTCTCTTGAAGGTTGTTCAGATGATTGGGTTCTTTCGTTTGGTGCTGAATACAGGAAAATACAGAGAGAAGGGAAACGTTCCCAGCGCCTGTTGTCGTGTGTGTTGGTACGGGAGACGAAGTACAAGAGTCACCCCATGACAGCAGTTCCATTGCATGCCTTTTCGGAGCATCGTTAGCCCTGGACAAACGGGTTGGGTCACTTTTCCACCTCCCTCTAACACTTTCTTCGAAGTATGCCCAAGAGGTTGCGGTTGAACCACCCCAGACATGGATTCTCCCTACGGTACATATATTGTTGAAAGCAAGCCGACGAATATCGTCCGCGTTGCTAGTCCCAAGCTTTTTTTTTTTTATTTTAGTCGCGAACGGGAAGGGCCTTAATTAACCGATACTACACTACGCAAACACATACATCCTAGCCTCGGGTATCACGAAATGCAACGTCTACATACAGTAGACACAGGAAGACAAACAACTAAAAAGTTCGGCCTGAGGGACTGATACACATGTCCCCAAAAGAATCGAAGACGGCATCCCCGGCATCCGTGGAGCTGCGATCGTGGATAGAACGGGCGCCACTGGGCGATGTAGTCCTTCCTGAAGGGCTGTGTGGCAAGTGCTGCAAGGGGTGTTGATGATTCCGGCCCGAAGGGCTGCTGTCGTCGGCGTGATGACGGTGGCCCGGTTGTCGCCCAGAAGGGCTGTTATGATGTTGTTCCTCGTGTCGCGTGTACAGCGGTGGGGTGGCGACACACAAAGAAGTCTTAAGGTACACCAGCATACACTGCGACGAGCTGTTCCAGTCGGCATCGAACGTGTCTGAAGAAGTTACCGCTCCTCCCGCCAGGCAGTCGTACTTGTGCCATCTTCCTCTGACACGCAGTTGAGTGACGAAGTGGTTCTTCCGTGACCCACCATGCGCAATATGGTAAGATACGCCGACCAAGGAATATGCAGCCCCCATGAACATAGTCGGCGATGGCGACATGGGCCGACCATGCAGCCCTTGGAATACCTCAGTAGAACGGAATAACACCCTGTTAGGTGCTGTGTGCACAGTCCATGGTAGCAAAGTCCAATTGCACAGTGTCTGGCTTAGGCCAGCTGCACAGAAGGGGCACAGGGATGTCCCCGGAATGGACAGATCCGAAGCCTGGCCAGAGGAGAAAAATCCCTGTACCTTTTCATGAAAAGTGGTGGAGGCGCCGTTTGGGATGGTGATAACGGTGGCGTTCCTCAGCGCCGCCGACTGATCGGGCGTAATCTCGAGGTTGGAGTGATTGCCCAGTGGACATGAATTGCCGTATCGCCAATCAAGCCCAAATTCTCGACGAGTCCGAACGACCCGTTTTTGACGATCGTTGAAGTTGTCTGGCCATATGGGTGACCCTTCCTGTGGGCAACGAGCCGCAATTGCCTCGAAGACGCTAGCGACGTCTCCCATCTGAGAGCCTACCCCGGGCAGAGACGAATTGGAAAATATGGCTTGACGCGCTTGTCGCGCTTCAAGCTGAGGTGTGGACGGCAGATGCAGGCGTGAAGAAGGGAAGTAAAGCGTTCGGCAAGTAGGCACGTGGAAAGCGTCAGGCAAGAAGAT